TTTGTACAGAACTGTGGTTAGAAAACGCCGAAGGGGATAAATATCACAATGAATGTTATGCAAATAGAAATATTTCTTTTTATCTGGCTCAGGACAGGAACAGGTGGCGGTCTCTGGCGAACACCGTAATGAAACTTTGGATTACTTAAAAGCGGGACACATGGAGCTAATTGTCAAAATTTCTTTCCACGAGACTTGCCCGTTGTTTTTGACGGGGAATTTTGCTGATAATTAATAAGCTTCTTCGGTCTATGTGGTCGCATGAGTCACATAGCCGAGTGGTGCTTTGGTTTGCCAGAAATTTCAGCCGAGGCCCGTCGTTTTAGTAAGAAGTTCACACGTCATCAAGACGCTATTTAGGCACATGAAAATAATCATCCCAAATGTAAAACAGGAGGAGAGAAGGGAGTGGTTATTTATGGATGCACGTCAGTGTCAGAAGTCATGCGACCTTGCGATGTACGTCACGTGATGACGTCACGCTCGTAATAAACAAATAACCATGGAAGTTACAGTCTTGTCTGGCGAGCGGACTTGCCAAATTTGTCTCTTTTAACCTTGATTCCTACTGTCGGGGGTTATATTTCCGGGCAGTTGGAGGTTTCTGGGTTCGCACCCACTCGGCGAGAACGGTTATTCCGGGTTTAGGGTGGGGGGGGGTGGGGTTTCCGTGGGTTACAACCTAATCTAAGTGACCACGTATAACGTCTGCGATTATAACTGCACCTTCAGCCCTACGAAACTGATTCAAAAAACAGCATCAACCAATTAACGTTGTCATGGAGACACGTTTTGTTTTCTTTGAGGTACGGACTGAATTCTTAAATATTGAAAATATTTCATTGACGGAAATGTTGAAACTTCTGCTGGTTTATTAGCCAACCGATCACCTCAGAAAAATAAACCACGAGTATGAAGATGGTGACCGACGTTTGAGAGGTACTTGCTGCCATCATCGTCAGAACGATAATGATTCAGACAGTGAGCCAGCACCTTTAATAAATTTCTACCAGACTACGCCCCAGAAGACAGCCATCTTGTTTTTGAAACATGTTATCACTGACGAACTTATATACTTGACAGGGGTTATTCATAAGATAGTATAATTGCGTCATATTGTGAATCAAATATTAAATTAATTATTCGGTTTTGTCCGTCTAATCACAATTACATTTAAAATTTACAAATAAGATAATTAAAATATCATTTTATGTTCCACATCGAAAACCGAATAATTAATTTGACAGGGGTGTTGGTAAAGGTTGGGGATGAACCTGGACTTACAGAATGGTAGACCGTCGCTGAAAAAAAATAATCAGCTTTTCAAATAAGTTTCGTGTTCCGAGACAAATCTACTGACAGTCCCCTGTGTACGTACAGACAGAGATGACATAAGTATGGGCATTCTTTGTGTGAGAATGTTCACACTTTCGGCTCTTATCGCTGTGAAGGAACGGCCTTATGGATCTCGCATTATCGCTGTGCAAACTGATTACCTGAAGGCGATGCAGTGTACTTTTTACCTTCCGATCCTGGTATCTGACAAATATAGAGATTCAAATGACGGCTGTGAGGATGCGAAGTTGAGAATAGAGGGCCGTTGTCAATAATTTTAAGGAACACCTTAAAATATGTAACAGCGTTTTTATATATGCGACTAGCAAACAACGACCCGTCAGATTTGACGGAAAATCTCGTTGGAATTACGAACGAAATTCGTACCATTTGTTTGTGAGGTATATCAAATGCGAACTCACTTTCACGTCTCAGAAGTTTGTTCTCAGATATTCCCAGCCAGCTCCTTAAGATCGGCGGCTGTGATAATTGCCAGACATAATATTGTTATATATATACAGATTGATCGAAGACAGCTTACAACTCGCAGCGTAGCTTTACTGCTGATTTAGAGCCCGCGGTAAAGGGGGTGTGGCGAAGTTGTTTATGACGAATCAGTGACTAGCTAGGGACTTGACGGACGGGGTTCTATCCCGGGCAGGGACAAGTTATATTTTATGGCCTCTGATTCTAGATCGGTTCTGGGGCCTACCCATTGGGTACGGGGGGGGGGTCTTTCCCCGGCGGTAAAGCGGACGGAACGTGACGCTGGCCACTCACCCAGCGCCCCGGAAAATTTTGTACCCCAAAAACGTAAGTCCCCCGTATTCCGGCGGTCCTTCGTGGTTCTCACCTCTTACTTCAAAGAAAGGTCGGGGTAGTAATTATACTTTAAAATGGGACACTGCCACTTCCTTCCTCATTCTGCTACATAACGTAAGTATAAAAACAGAGCCGTTGAATTAGGTTAGGTTTACGAAGAGGTGGGAATGCGTGTTGTGGTCTTGTGGCTTGTGAGACCGTGTGAGGCTGTAGGTGGTAAGTGGACTCCGCAGCTGGAAAGAGACACTCTGTAGTAACCGGCCCTGGTTCAGGTTTCTTTTAATTTGCCTTATTTTCTTTGTGAGAAGAGAGAATTCGCCTACGTCATTCCAAGTCGAGGGAGAAAAGGAGAGAATTGATGAATGGTAGACGTGTTTTGTATCAGCGTGCTATGACGCAGGCTCGACGCGGAAAAGAAACCCTAATTCAGCGCTCCGGGCAGCGAGAATTTCCAGCGTCCACCTCTCTCCTGACATCTGACGTCATTACTAGTGACGTATGACGCAAAAATTCGTCAGATTAAAAAATCTTCTTTCGTCAGAAACATTTTTATATCCCACAAAATATTTAGGGACCTGACGCCGAGATGCCCTCGGAAACGGGTTTTAATTTTTGCCCGGGTGTAGCCAAAATTGAAACGCTTCAACAGATTTTTTGTGAAATTCCTCAATATCGTATTTCATGTTGGTTACAAGTGGCCCGTGAGCTGCCAGTTGCATACACTTAAGGTGACATGTCTTCTTTTTAAGACCAACTTTTGATGCAGGTGAGAGACGTCACATTTGAATCTCTATACGTAACCATTTAAAAAAATATTACCATTTATGTTGTGACACCCGAAATGTGTTCTTTTTTTCACACACGAACCTGGTCACCTTAGAGACTATGGACTATATTTTATGATGTTCTTGCACCATGTTCGGAGTGTAGGCGTCATTAATTAGCAGGTCTGTTTGACTTTGGGATATCTCAGATTACCACACGAGGGGGGGACCCCCCCCACCCAATCACCCTGTTGCATCATTGCTGTGACACAGCAGAACCTCCTAGTACCTCCGAGGGAACGTAGCATGACGTCTTGGACATTTGAACATCTCACATTAATCGCTTTTCCGATGAGTGGAAAAATTTGTATGAGCATTATCTGAATTATTTCATGGGGATTTTTTTTTTTCCTGTTCTCCTGTTGACAGAAGCTTGCATGTATCTTGCAGATAGTGCGTTACCATGGAAACCACTACGAAGCGAAAATTCCTTACACACTGACAGTCATTAATTTACTTGTCCATTTTAATAACATCATCTTCGGACGATGTCGATAAGCACAGGAGATGGGGTTGTTCCGCTCACATTTTCCAACTAAAATTCTACAGGAATTTCTTATCCGCAACACGTAACATACAATTTATGGTTTGTGTTCTGTTTCTGTACTTGTCACATTCTTCTGAGAGAAATGAGCATTAAAAATTGCCTGTTAGTTACGTAATCAGATATAAATACTATTCTGACCTGCATTACTGTGCTATTAGAAGGGGCACGAATCAAGGTCTGCTCACGCCCCTGCTCGTGTTATTTTAGACACAGGACTATATTTAACACCTTCCTCTGTACATTTAGGACGGTTTTACCATGTACGTATTTGCCCATAAAATGTGATACCATGAATAAAAAGCTATTACTTCCTTGGACCTATTGATCGTTGTCACGGAGACTAAATTCTTAGATATTATTTAGACGAAGGAAGCTTCTGATAAAAGAGATGCTGTTTCTTCCAACTAAATTGTCTCTGCATAACTGCATAATACATGCACTGTAGAACATTTGCTGACGAAAAGGTTTTTCCGCCCTTGGTACGCCTCGCTAATTCGGCATCTCGCATCAATTTTCACCATGGAGTTGCTTGTGTGTACAGGTGACTTTGACTATGATCGGGGGTTCCACGAGACAGTCACGTGATGGTTTAAAACTTCGTGTAATTCGTCATGTGTCCGATAGAGCACAGTCACATCGACTCACGGATATTCAATGTTTTGTATAGCAACGTTTCATTGCACGTGGAATTATGGAAAGAACTCGTATCATAGGGGACAGACGCTGTTAATCAGGCATTTTAACCCAAAAACCATAACTTCAATAAATATTCATAATTTTAGACAGTAAACATCTATCCAGTCCACTGCTGGCGACAGTGACGAACTCATGCGTGGACATGATTATATAAGCACGAAATACGGAAAGTAGGCTGGAGCTGCTAATTTGTTGTTCATTTTCTTGTTTGTACAGACTTATGTACACCCTTGGCTTTCAGAAGAAAAGTATTTGCTTTCATATACTAGAAAACAGTGAGTCAACACTTCTGAAACTGAATAACAAGTAATTTACAACATGTTTCTCGTTGCAGCTTAATCACAGCTTCTCCTGTTGCAGAGATGCATTGAATTTCCATTTATAAAAGCAAAATGATTCCTTAGACGTAGGATCGGACGATCAGAAGAAGGCCTCTGGCTACATATTACTTTAATGTAGAGACAATAACTCCAAGCAGACACTTGTCACGACATTTTAGTCTCTTCATCATAGAAGAGGGATTTCGTGCTCGGGTATTTATCAGAATCAATGCCGGTAGAGGCCAATAGATGGCAATGTAGAAGATGTCATGTGCTGCCATCTCTAACCTAATACTGAAATTAATTTATTCAATCAATGTTGCCAACATGTAATTTTCATTTTGAGAATCATAAGTTTTTGAAACATTATGACGTGAAATTATCAGGAAATTAAACATTTTTATAACGTATTGAAATTCAGAAATTTTTGTGATGTGGAGGCATTATGTTTAGTGTGATGTAAATTGTTTATATAGTGTAGTAAGGCATTTTTGAGACTGTGTATTGGTGGTACTGATAAAGCAGATATTACGTTGTTACTGGCTGAAATGAATGATGGTGCGAAGGTAGTGTGAAATTCAAGTTTCAGTTTGCTTCAGTATAAGACCGATAAAAGGTGAATTAGCGTACAGTATGGCATCTGCTGTGTTTAATCAACCCTTTAAAGATGTAAGTATTAACAGAAGTGCGGTGACATTTCTCGTAATATGTTGAGACTGCTTGGTAACGAGTTAAATTGATCTCATAATCACTTGTTAGTGTTCTTGGCCTTGAATTTGTTACATCTCAATTTCCATATGGGAATGGGTAATCGTTATATTGGTATGATACTGTGACCTCCCAGCGCAGTTGCTTTTATGGTTGTGAGTTTAAGAAGCTCAGTACTTTTTTTAGAAAATAAAAATTAGATTTTGTTGTTACTATTTTGCTTACACGTGCTGAAGGAAAGTGACCTTGTTAATGCTGTACCATTCTTGCGTAACAGGAGTGTAATGATCTGCTTCATCCTCTTTATTGAAGGCAGGCCTCTGGGCTGTTGTGCTGTATACCATTTTGGCTATGTCAGCATTTCAGAGGAACTTCACCAAAACCCTACATATTTCATCCTTGTTATTTTTGTCGATTAATTGTAACAAAACTGCCTGTTTGTTTCTAGGGGCTTATGTTGATGAATAGGGTCCGGAATGGTGTGGTAGCATGGAATCGGAGCATGTCAGTAGTACCAACTACAAAACTCTTCATCAATGGAAAATTTGTAGACTCCAAAACAGAGGATTGGATTGATGTACATAACCCAGCAACTAATGAGGTATTACACTTACGAGTTATAAATAATCACACATGCACATGTATAGGTCTTAATAGAATGATTATTCTCTAATACCGGGAATTTTAGTAAGGACCTCAAAGAAAACACAACACATCACCATCACGAAGATGAGCTGGTTAATGAGGTATAACGAAATAATCATTGTTTACCATCGGAACCATATGAAAAACACAGGTTTAAAATATTGTGTTATTGTGAAACCATGTGGTACATATAGTTACCACTGGTGTTTAAAGGGTTAAACACATGAGACAGCCCACTGAATGGTTATTTAATGATGATGTTTGCAGGTGAAGCTATATAGCATTGATGGAAGGTTGTGTGTTTGTTAGAAAAACAAATGACTGACTTTTAGAACTTGGTACGTGAAGCGATGGCCACTTGAAGTCGCATGACACGGTATCTTGAACAGTAACACCCATTTAATTTTATATAAGTGTGCACCTTTGAAAATGTTTTCAGGTTTTGTTAAATTTGCTTTTTGTAGAAAATATAAAATTGCGTGACAGCCAAGGAGCGCAATACACCGTCTGACCTTTTCTTTGAACGCTTAAAGAGACCCGTAGTTTAAAATAATTTGCTACAATGCATAATTTTGTTATAGGTAGTGACAAGGGTACCAAAAGCCACAGAGGCTGAGATGTTGCAGGCGGTAGCATCAGCGAAGGAAGCCTTCAAGAAGTGGTCGCAGTTATCGATACTGTCTCGGCAACAGGTCATGTTCAGATACCAGGACATCATTAGGAAGAACATGGTCAGTTGTGAGTGGTTAAATGTTTGTTCAGTACAAAGTTCCAGCTGTCCGTGTTGAATTACTCCGAACTTCGGTGTCTTAGCTTTTTGGTGCTCGAGCAAATGCCGCATTATTTACAAAAGATCGTGTTCTACAGCGATTTAAATTCTTTTAACCTCTTTGCCGAGACACGAGACCGATACTTCATGTATTGGATGCTGTTCAAGGTCGTCTCTCAGCGACTGTCTGATTGGTCGTTCCTTGCTCATTTATAGTCGTTTACTATACTGAAATATTAACCAACTCCATAGAGCTTACTTATACTGAATATAGATCTAAAGACTTGTTGCATTATATGAGTTTTGTACTTGATGTTAATAAACTAATGTACCTTGCCGCACGATTAACGTAACGCTAATCGCGTGCGACGTCTTCGCATGCCCACGATCAATAAACTAACAGCATTGTAAATTTTTTTTGTTCGCTGCAGAAAGAGCTGGCCAAGAGCATCACAACGGAACAAGGCAAAACACTGATTGATGCGGAGGGAGACGTGTTACGAGGACTGCGTAAGTTTATTTAGCAACGCAGTGTCAACTGCGGCACTTATAATTGTGAATAGTTGGAGGAAAGAAAAATAAGATCATTGCTTATTTTAAAGTTCTCTCGGAGGGGCTGAGAAGAACGACAAAGAAATTTGAGATAGCTGTCGTAGCTGAAATTTACATTACGTCATGTTGGTATGTCCGTACAGAGGTGGTGGAGCACTGCTGCAGTGTTACGTCCCTCCAGCTGGGAGAGACGTTGCCTAATATTAGCAAGGATTTGGATACGTACTCGTACCGCTTGCCGCTCGGCGTAACAGCTGGTATAACGCCGTTCAACTTCCCAGCCATGATTCCGCTGTGGATGTTTCCTGTTGCCATTGTTCTGGGTAACACGTCCGTCATCAAGCCATCAGAACGAGACCCCGGAGCTTGTATGATGCTGATGGAGTTGCTCAATGAGGCGGGATGCCCTCCTGGAGTCGTGAACGTGATTCATGGCGCACGTGAGGCCGTCAGCTTCATATGTGATAATCCAGACATTAAAGCTATCTCATTCGTAGGATCTGACCAAGCAGTAAGGAAATGTATTTTGTTCACGCTATTTTTTCTGACGTTAAGGGAAGAATATATTTTTACAGATTCTGAGAACAGGGTACTGAGGAAAATATTTGAACCTAAGATGGAGAAAGTAACCGGAGGGTGGGAAAAATTGCGTGATACGGGCTTCATAATTTGTGCTTTTCTCAAAATATTATTGGGTAATCTAATGAAGAATGAGATCAGCAGTGTATTTATCTTGCAAGAAATGCTTACAAAATTTTTGTTTGAAAATCTGAAATTAGGCATAGGTGAAAAGATAATATTAAGATGGATTTTAAAGATACAATATTTGAGGTGCATACTAGATTCACGTGGCTCTTGGAATAGTGATCAGTGGTAGGCTGTTGTGAGCACAGAAATTAACCTTTGGGCTCCCTAAAAGGCAGAGAATCTTTTGACTACCCGAGTAACTGTTAGTTTCTGACGAAAGACTGCGTTGCACGCAGTTGGTTGGAAGAAAACTTTCTCGTGTCATTTTATTAATTTTCTACCAAAGGAATCCCGTTCAGAAGTGTCCGTGTCATTGCCTGGGATCATAAAATTGAGTGAAAAATGAAGAAAACATAAATTTGAACACTTTTGAGATTTTACAGAATTTTTATTTTGATGTCTATTTGTAAGAGGCGTGCTACGTTTTTACGGCATAACATCCCGCGCCCTCTGTTCACTCGTTTCGAAGGCTGCCTGCTGTTGTTTCAGGGGAAGTATATCTATGAACGAGGATCTCTCAATGGAAAGCGCGTACAGAGCAACATGGGAGCCAAAAATCATGGCGTGGTCATGCCTGATGCAAATAAAGAAAATACTCTGAACCAGCTCGTTGGGGCTGCTTTTGGAGCCGCTGGGCAGCGCTGCATGGCCCTCAGTACGGCTGTGTTTGTAGGCGAGGCACAGCAGTGGCTCCCAGACCTTGTTCTCAGAGCAAAGGCACTGAAAGTAAATGCAGGTGAGTAACTGACACGAGCTTAGTACGCGTCGTCGACTTGCATTGAAAACCGTCATCGTCAGACCTCTGTCATCTGATACGGTTTACGTATTTCTTTACCAAAAAATGTCCTCTGTCTGTTTTTAAATAACGTATACCTCTACTGCTGATAGTGGCACCCCAAGCAGTCATTTTAAAAACTTTATATTCCGGAAAAGGCTAAGATACAGGAGAAGTTTTGGTAGTAAACTGACCATGCAATGAATCAGAGATGTGAAACATCGAATGTGCAGAAACAATTATATACTTGCATATTTCTTAATATTGGTAATTTTGTCATGTATCGATCACTATTCCCCACTTTAGTTGCTCCCTATTTTATAAATAATTCATGCAGTGGCATATGTTATCATGTAGGAGGTTGCATTTTTGATTTTGCATCTTACTTTTGATGGTATCTCATTCCGTAATTCATAGAACTGGCCCTGAAAGCAACACGACATTACATAACCGGTAGACGATGGTTTTGAAGGCCAGATGTTGTTCTGTAGGTCACGTACCAGGCACAGACTTTGGTCCTGTCATCTCGGCGCATGCGAAGAACAGGATCTGCGATTTAATACAGTCGGGAATCGATGAGGGAGCCAAATGCGTTCTCGATGGACGAGGACTCCGGGTGCCTGGCTTTGAGAAGGGAAACTTTATTGGGCCGACCATCCTTACAGATGTTAAGGTGAGCTGGTGTGGGCCTGTGCTAAGAAGTGTTTTGTTTTGTAGTCCTTTAAAGTGAATTGTATTAATCGTGTGATCCAAGAAATTTGGTACAGCTAAGTTGTATAAACTGTATAGCTTCTTATATAGTTTGTCACCTCATAATAAAGGCAGCTAGAGCTTAAAGCTGACTTATCTAAATTTTTTGAAAGAATGAAATTTTACTTTCACTTATCTGTTTGTCTTTGTCTCACGAAGAAGATAGACGGAGCCTGAAGCTGGTCACTCTAGCATAATCTGCTGCCGATTCATTTTTAACCTCAGGTGCCCCTTTGTGGTGTCATAGATGATCCTAGGCAAGGAGGTGCTTTCTGTCTCACGATACGCACTGGATCGTCTCTATGGCGACAATAATTGTATAGGATTTGCCGTGCTTTTATTTTAACAGGAACTCTAATATCTCTATGTAGGTGATGTTTACATTACAACTTTGCCGTTATTTTGTAATTAGAAGATCGCTGTCTTCTGGGTTGTTGCGCCGTGTAGTCTCGTAGAAGTTTACTGATGTTTTAAAGGTCCTCGCTGCCTCCGTCATCAGGGCGATGATGGAGGCAGCGAGGACCTCTGAGACGTCGGCAAACCTCTACCAGACTACGTGGCGCAACAACCCAGAAGACAGTGATCTTCTCTCATCGCCGTGAAAACCTCAAATCCTACATTTTGTAATTAGTTTTATATTTATATGCAGACAAACATGAAATGTTACAAGGAGGAGATCTTTGGACCAGTTCTGATCACGTTGCATGTGGACACATTGGACGAAGCCGTAGAACTCATCAACGAGAATCCGTACGGTAATGGTACAGCCATCTTTACAACCAATGGGGCTACTGCCAGGAAGTTTACCAACACAATTGACGTGGGTCAGGTGAGTTGCGCTGTCAGAACAATGATAGGTGGTGTAGGCTCTGTGGTGCCATCTTTATATAAGTACTGAGTCACGTTGGGTGTTTGACAGTCCGTAAATGTTGTCTGGTATTTGATTTCCAGGAAAAGATGGCAGAACTAAATATATACTAAAGCTGGAGGGAACCAGCAGCATTCAAACCGTGATTTAATTTTGAAATTGTGGAGGTGCTTCTTTGACGTAGTTTTAGATTTTGATTGACTGTGTTGTGTCTAATACAGGGTGATGACATCATTGCAGTATGTAACTTTTCTTTGATGCTTGATTAGAAGGGCTTAAGTCAGTATAAGGGGTCCGCAGTGGCCGCACGGTCTGAGGCGTGGGCCTAGTGCCGCTTGGTCGCTAGGACCGTGGGCTCGAATCCCACTCAAGCCATGGATGTCTGTCCGCGTGTTTCTGTGTTGTGCCCTCCTGTGTACAGGTAGAGGCCTTGCGACGGGCCGATCCCTCGTCCAAGGAGTCCTACCGAATGTCTATAGATCGAGCCAACGAAAAGTTGGGACCCGCAGTGCTCAGGCACTTGAAGAACGGTTCGTTCTCAGTATCCCAGTAAGTCAGTATAAATTATATTTGACTTAAGCCATTCTACTGATCATATGATTATAATGTCACCATTCCAAATTTGATATAATTATGTAACTAAATCTGTGGAACAGAGTTCTTCCTTAAAAATTGATAGACACTCAACATTTCAAGAAATTTCCTGGCTCCTGTTCTGTCAAATGAATCCAGTCCACTCTCTCCCACAAATTTTCTCCAAGACCCATAATGATATGTTCTCATCTATGTCTAGGTCTTCCAAGTTGTCTCTCTCTTTATGGTATTTTAATTTGTAAAAATACTTACACATGATTAAAGTCTGTTAGTTAAGTATGAATATTCTCTTTGGTTTTCAAACGAGTTGTAACCTTTGCTCCTCATAATGGATGCCTGAAAAGGACCAGGTACTGTATCTAAATTTTGTGTTGATCTCGCAGGTCGGAGTAAACGTGCCAATTCCTGTGCCACTGCCCATGTTCTCCTTCACAGGAACACGTGGTTCATTCATGGGTGATGCACACTTTTATGGCAAGCAGGTAAGTGTGGCGCACGGTTAGTTAGAAACTAGCTGCGGTAAATTGCAGTTTGTTCGGCCAGAATCGGAGCACAGTCTGGTAGCGGCATGTTCTGAGATGTCTTTCGCGAGGAATCGATCTCGTCTGCTTTGAAAATCTGTAACTGAGGTAAATGTCCACTCGCAATATCACTCTAGCTAATAATTTCTGGACTTGTTTCTTTTAATGTCTTTGTTTCACTGACCCTTCAGGTCTCTTTATTTTACCACGTAAAATGTTATTAGTTTCGTATTAAAACTGGAATCGTTAAACTCGTCCCATCACGAACTAGAATGTTCGTGAATGCCACTCTGAAATCAACAGCCATTGATAATTTCATATATTTTTAAATATCAGGCTTACCACCATCTTCAGTTTATATAGAATTGTCTCACTCATTTTGAGACCGGACGTCGTGAGTTAAGAAGCCCAAAGGCTGCAGAATAAGTTAAAAAAATCATATATCATTAATGACAAAAGTGTGTACAGTGTTTACTGGGTAAGAAAAGAGATGAACCTAATACAGTGGTACATTTACTGCACAAACATAATTTAATTTCTTAAATACCATTTTTATCTGGATGTGGTCTGTTCTCATCAGTTCCCTGTCCCGAGAAGCTGGCCGAATGTTTAAATTAAGCGTGCGACTTTTGTGTTTATATCCAAAATTCCCATTTGAACAATTGCAGTGTTTATAGTGTGAAACATTTTCACACTTATAATTATATCACAGAATTAATAAAAATTGGTTCTTAGCTTCAGATCTTGGTCTGGGCACGTTTACGCCGAGACGATCACAGTATAAGATCTCCCTCTGTCATATGAACTTCATCCTTCGGTGTTTTTTTTTTACTCCGTTTGTAAGCGATGTTCATCGTTGCCGTGTTGTTATTTTCAGGGTGTAAATTTCTACACACAAGTGAAGACAGTGACTCAGATGTGGCGGGAGAGCGACGTGACGCACTCGAAGGCCGCCGTTTCGATGCCCGTTATGCAGTGAGTACCTCCGTACAGAAGGTTTTGCAGTCGGCGCACGGATGTTTTGATATTTTCCAGGTGGTATGTAATTCGGGCATCTTATAAAATTCACTTTCTAGTGTCAGTTGCAAGACGCAGCACAAACATTTTACGCTTTATAAAGTGCCCGAATTCTACGTGTTGCTCGTAAGAAATATTGTGAATATAGTTTGAATTATAAAAATATGGTACATATTCTTTTATGATTGGAATTCATCTCGTACCAGGAGATGAACGAGGAGTCGTTCTGGTTCTCCTGCAATCAGTAGTATAATGTTAGTGATGAAGAGGAGCTTACAGACACGTTCGCCTACAAGTTAGATTAGGAGCATATGAAGATAATCTATAGATTGTCTGCAAATTACAATTATGTTACTTGTTCACTTCTTTGAATGAAGCATTTTATTGTGTTTTTATCTCAGGTTCTGTGGATGTTTTTATCCGATCTTCATGTAACCTTGCCAGTCTTTGTTTTGTAGCAGAGTCGGAATATCTGCCAGCGCTGCTGTGCGTGATTGTAGTTTTATATATATATATATTTTTATAGCGACTCTTTTCTCGTGAAAATAGCTGTCCAAAGTGGACGATGAAATATGCAACGTGCGTATGTGAGCTACCTCCTCTGAAAGTAGTTTGTGCACTTGGTTCTGTGCAGTCCATCTGTTCCTCTCAGTCTCTTTCAGGAGAAAAAAACAAAATGTCTGGGAAATGAATAGTAGGTTTTTATTTTAATTTTTCGGTGAGTTTTGTTTTCAAAAGTCATGATGTGTAGAATACATCGAAATGCCAATAAAACAAACATCAAGTTATTGAATATTTAAATTTGCTAAATATTTGTCAGAATTCACACAAATATTTAAATATCAATTTATTTATTACTAAATCAGCTTAGCAGAAGCAAAAAAAAAAAGCATTAATTTTATATTAAGAGGAAAGTCGGGTCATCTGGGGTTTCTTATCTTTACGTACAGGCATAATTTGTTACGCTTTATGCGGCGTTAAGATGTTACATTTTTCTTATTGAATGGTTTTGTCTGATAATCTTTTTCCCCCCTCATAATTAGCTTCAGTGTTTTGAGAAGGTTAAAAGGCTCGAAGTCATACTTAAAAAATCATATAAAATTTTCTTCGTAGTAACTTGAGGACTACCGCTGCGTCGTTCACTGGAGTGACTGCGTCGTTAATGGCTGAGGTTCTTCGTCTGGGGCAGAATTATATATCTGGTCTGCGATTGTTTAGTCAGAACTTCGAGTGGGGCACATTTCATGGAAAATGTCTAGGTTTCTCGGATTTCCTTCACCTAGTTCCAAGAATTTACAAAAAATGGGCAAAAAGTGTTTTATTCGTAAGCATATATGGTATTTTGGAATGCTGATAAATTCTATCTAATTTTGGAGGTGGGCGTCGTCATTGATTTAGGTCATATTATAAAAGAACGCTTGAGTCTGTTATGATGGCATTTCCCCTGTTGGAGGAGTGAGAATAATATTCTGCTTATCATTGTCAGAGTGAATCTGTTATTGTTATTATTATTATTATTTAGTTTTATTTTTTGTTTGAGAAGACTTTCTTATTTGTGTGGCATCAGGAAACTAGTTCTTATTCTTTGTCTTGCACTTTGCTTTGTGCCTTACGACATTGGTATTCAGAAAATAAATGTTTAGATGAACTTGTTGAAATGTTTTAACTTTTTTTTTCTTAGTTAAAACAGTGTATTTTGATTCAGGCTTGTGCGTGGATGAATATAAGTATGGTCTTCGGTTTGAATTCCAAGTGTGAAAACAACATGAGTTACAAAATAGAAATTATTGGTTAAGAGGTTCTTTGTTAACTTGAACTAGTAGCTGCTTGTTTTATGCTAAAGTCTAAACTAGAAGTGGAAGAGACTGCTTTCTTGTATTCATTTTCAGCTGCCTGGAACAATCCAGCTGTGTCAACTTACTTGGAATTATGAAACTCAATGTAAGAAACCAGGTGGAACAGTTAAAGTACAATCTATACTGTACTGATTTTACGAAATTTTCAAAAATCTTCGAAATTTTAAAAAAATTAAAAATGTCTGCAAATGGCGTGAAACGCAAAGAAAACTAAAAATTTTGCCTAGTCATCAATTTCACAGATGTATCACACATCCTCCTACTCACCTTTATTTTTTCTCCATCGACATCAACAGTCCTTTCCCTAAAATCCACTCCTATTGTTGCTTCAGGATTGGGAAGAAATTTGCCTTCACAGAACCTGTAACTCAGGCAAGTTTTCCCAACATACGGTTCTCCTATAATTATAATTTTGAACTCCCTAATCTGTTTCGGAGTACTTTTATTTTGGCGAAACTGAGCCATTTGTTAATTATCTGGAAATGACATGAAAACTAAAAAATCTACTCCAATCACTGTCCGCTTACTACAAATCTAGCTCCCTCCAACCACTAGGCACATACAACGCCCTGATGACGGACGCAACATGATACCTGAAATGTTGGTAAACATCTGCCATACTACACAACGCAACAACTCAGACGACAGAAATCTTCATACTCACCGTTGTGAAAACCCCAAATCATACATAAAAAAATCTAAGCTAGCGTCGTATATCTCAAATCACCACTACTCAGTTAATCTACAAATAACTAACTATATAGCTGGCTATAAATCATAAACTGCAATCGCAACCCACTGGAACTTGAAAGACATAGTCATGACCATTGTAAGAAACTATGGAATCGAAATACCATATAGTAAACATATATATTATTATTTAGTGTTCTGTCTGACGACAGGTCCATATGAACGGGATCCTTCCATCCTTTTCTCGGACTGGGACAGTAACAAAAATTGCACATAAGGATTAGTCCTTGACTTTACAGCCACCATCATCAGGGCCGTGACAGCTATCTTATATCAGGATATTTATATTCCTTATGTTGGCCACTGTTTCTACCTAAAGAAAATCGTGGGCATTGGGTAAAAGACCAAAGCCAAACCACTAACTTAGAATATCCTCAACGAATTGAAGATGGCAGGGAGATCTGATAGGAAATATGACGTGCCGGCCATTTTGTGAGTAGTTACGTATGATCAAATTCGTGGCAAGTTTTGCAAAGATTTAGGTGGAATTACTAAAAATTACGGCTCCCCGAAATTTATAATAACAGTCTCAATAGTTTTGTCCTCTTTTCAGACAATTTGCAGCATTTTTTGATTTTTAGAAAATTTCTGAATTTCGAAAATTTTTAGTTTTCTTCGCGTTTCACGCCATTTACAGCCATTTTTATTTTTTTTAACATTTCGACAATTTTTGAAAATTATTACAACAGTTTGATCACACTCTCAATAAGCCCCTCCCACCTGAAGTCCTTTGTCATTTTCATAATACCTGTATATTACATATACATGAATAACTCTCAAACTGTAGAATGTATTTCATGTATGTAATTCTGGATTACATTAAAGAGAATACATGTGGAACAAAAGACTGACTATGCATGTATTTTGCCTATCCACGTTTGAAGTTTAATATTCTGCAGATTTAAAGTACAATAAAAGAAGGAGCTTGGTGACTTAATACAGGGATGTGAAGTATATTGTTACACGCTCAGAAATTAAAATCACATGCAAGGGACAGGATTGGTCCAAAGGTCTTGATGAACGACATGTCATTAAAGTGACACATATTCTTATAAAGCCTATTGATTGGGTCCACTGGGGACTGAGATAGAGCTTTTTTACAGTTGGTCCAGCTGATCAGATTTTTCCTTACGGCAGAAGCACATACAGCTTCTAATTTTTTTTCTAAAGTGATGGATGAAACGAAAATGCATCAGCTTGGTTAGATTTATTGACTGAGCATTTGACGTCAGCATCTAAGGCATGTGACTTGAATGTTTACTATCAGAAAGAGTATATTCATTTCAGTCAAGTGTGAGAAGAGGATACTGAAACAGATAAAAACACTGCTCACCACAACAGCGTACATGAAACTCTTCACATCGTTCAATATGATATAGCCCATACAGTAGATACAGCATTATTAAATCAGCCTTGTCTAATTGAAGATCAAGATCTTTAGTGTTCTACAGGCTGCATACAAAGTCCCGCAATCCCAGGGTAAAACTTAATGTCATGGGTGAGCTTTCGGGTTCTCATGGCTGCTGGTATAAAGTCCACCAGACTACACGGTGCAACATCCCAAATGAGCCATCTTAATAATTTGCCATTTTATCGGTATGGGCCCCCTCTTGGAAGTCTTTAAGAATTTCAGGCATGATCTTCCATTTATGCGGTCTTGGTTCGCGGTCTTCTGGGTTATGATGCTGCACCGCCTTGTAAGAGGTCATCCATCAACGTCTGTGAGGAAGGCATCGTGTTCTTGTTTATAAAACAGCACTGCTATTCTTATAACGCTAGAAAAGACACCCCCCCCCCAAATACATTCATCTTGAAGCTGACGACTGCATTATTTGTCGAAACCTTGAAAATACGACGCGGATTATTGTCTCTCGGCTTCGAGGGCGAAGTTATACAATGTTGATAATACAGAAACATTTATTTGGGGTAGCGAGACTTTACATGCACCCTGTGCATTGCCATTCTTTCTGTTTTGGTCCCTACCCCCCTTTTTCCTTCCGCCCCCATCACGAACAAGAACCACTTCCTACGCCGTTGTTGTTAGACCGGTTTACCGGCCTTTTTTTTTTTTATGTCTCGTTCTTCATTCTGCTGTTCGCACCGGTGGAGGCAACGCAGTTTCTGGTAAGTAAGGAAATGTTTGTGTTGTCGTAGCGTTTTCTTGTTAAATGCTGCTTATATTTTAGTATGAACTCAATATGTTCATTTCGAGTAAATTATTTTCAACTCTAAAGAAGTTTCAGTATAACCTTGTTTTATCATTCTTATTTTAATACTGTTTGTGATTTTTATAACGTTTAGTTAATTATGCAATTAATGGCCTTAGAGCAACAGACATATTAGAGAGGTGTGTAGAAACATGCTGATTTAGAAGTAGTTTAGTAAAGAATGCAATCTATACGCCGCTTCCCATACTCACAAGATGTGAGCCCCTGAGGGTGAAATGTGGTAAACCGTACCGATAAAACTTGTTAAAAATGTCCCGAAAAATCAGAAATTGCGCGATGAGTTTCCTATTCAGAATAGTCTCAAACTAGAACATATTTCATTGCCACTGCTTTTAAATCTTGCTTTAGAATATACGCGAACAAAATCCGAGAGTACCGTAATTGAATGGGGCCTCCGGCCGGTATTGCAGAGCGAAAAGAGAGGTCCAGTAAAAGAGAAGCACAAAAGCTGTGCAAGACGCAGTAAGGATGTTGGTTGAGAAATAAAGGCAGAGGAATATAAATACCGTCAGTTCTGATAATGACTCGTGTTGTTTGGATTTAAAGCGATGGAAATATTTGGGAACATTTTTCGTGACGCGATCCAACACGTGGCAGAGGGCCGGAAATAGAGATGTTGAAGACAAGGCGAAGTTACCTCTAAGACGCAGTCACATGGGCAATGGAGGTATAGATCACGCATTCTTAGCATAGACGGTCGAAAGAGGTCAGTAGTTAGCTTCACTTAAGAAAGAGGCCAGTGGCCAGTGTATAAGAGGCTGGGTGGGCCACAAAACCTGTAATATGTGAGAAATTCTGCCCAGGATCGAACCCCGTTTGTCCAGCCCATAGCCTAGTTCCAGAGTGAGCCGTCCATCACTCTGCATAATTTAACAATGGTTAATGCTTCAAATATTTAATTCTGAGTGAACAATTAATGTTAAGTAATATTGTTGAGCAGTATGTGAACCTGTT